TAGTTAAATGTGGGTAAATTTTGGTGGGTAAATGTGTGCTTTTGAAAGTACAAGTTGGTAGTTAAATTTGTATTTTGGATTACCGAGTTTGGTGGTTAAATATGTGTTTTGGATGAAAATGTTTGTTGATTAAATATGYATTTTGRATGAAAATGTTTGTTGATTAAATATGCATTTTGGATGAAAATGTTTGTTGATTAAATATGCATTATGGATGAAAAGGTTTGATTGTTAAATTTTTAGGTTTGTTGGTTAAATAGATAGATTAAGAAAATGAAAGAGATTGTTGATTAAATATGCATTATGGATGAAAAGGTTTGATTGTTAAATTTTTAGGTTTGTTGGTTAAATAGATAGATTAAGAAAATGAAAGAGATTTGGTCATTAAAATAATTACAAAAAAAAAAAAAAACTAAATCCAAATCCTACTAACCAAACAGAGGAATGGATTTCAAATCAAATCCAAATCTTGCAAACCAAACATAGGAATGGATTTTAAATCCAATCCAATCCAAATCCCATGGAATCCAAATCCCTCAGAAACATTCCTGCAAACCAAACGCACCCTTAGTATTGTTGAGGAGGAAGGTTTTAATTTGATGATGAGAAGGGAAATACCTGAATGGAACCGTGTATCCCGAGTTACTATTAAAGCCGACTCTTTCAAAGTCTATGAGTTTGAGAAGAAAAGGTTAAAAGATTTGTTCAAAAAAGTGGAACGAGTAAGTTTGACTATAGATTTGTGGAAGTCAAAGCCACAAAAAATTGAATATATGATGATTACCGCTCATTTTGTGGATTTTGAATGGAAGCTTCAAAAGAGGATGATTAACTTTGTTCATTTGCCTCCTCCACGTAAAGGTGCAAATATAGCTGATTGCATCTTAACATGCCTAAGGGAGTGGGAAATTGAGGACAAAGTAAGTTCTAATTTGATTAATAAATCAGTGTATATATGTGTTTTATTTTATTTATGACTTGTGTACTGATAAAAATTACATCTTTGTGTATTCGTGTTAGGTTTTCACATTTTTTGTGGACAATGCTTCTGCAAATGATTCTTGTATTGCAATTTTGAAGGATAATTTTGAATCAAATGGGAGGCTTATTTGCGGTGGAAAATTGTTTCACGTCCGATGTTATGCCCACATTCTTAACTTTATGGTTCAACATGGTCTTCAACATGGTCTTCAACAAGTGAAGGATATTATTGTGAAAGTCCATGATACCGTTGATTACTTGAACTTAGTGATGCACGTCTTAAGCGTTTTGGTGAACTTGTAAGCCAATACAACATGAATCATCGGAAGTTAGTTCTTGAATGCAAGACACGTTGGAATTCAACATACGATATGCTAGATTGTGCCATCAAGTTTAGACATGTATTTCTTCGATATTCTTTGCATAATCGTAATTATACTTCTTGTCCTACTGAAGAGGAATGGAGTAAGATTGCAAAATTGCTTGATATATTGAAAGTATTTAAAGATGCTACTAACTCAATATCTGGTTCTGAATATCCAATTTCCAACTTGTTTCTTGCTGAAGTACAAAGGATTAAAGTTATGTTGGATAAACAATCTCAGTCGAATGATGATTTTGTTAGAAGTATGGTAAACCACATGAAAGAGAGATTTGATAAATATTGAGGGGAATGTAACATGTTAATGTCAATAGGGACCGTGTTAGACCCTAAATTGAAAATGAGGGCTTTAGAGATTGCATGGCTTAAAATGTTTCCTTTAAGTGTAGCTTGGGATAATATTAGTAAAGTCAAAGAGGTGATGTATGAGATTTTTGATGAATATGTGAGAATTTATTCTTCTTCTATTAGGGATGAAGGTGTCGAATGTGAGTTTGGATCAAATACTCGTGAAGGAGATGATGGATATGGTTGTTTATCTGAACTTTTGTCAAGTGTTTTTAGTGGGGAGACATCGGTAACTTGTGTGAAATCTGAGCTTGATATGTATCTAGAAGAGGGGCGTTTCTTTAGTCAAGACTACAAATTTAATGTCTTATCTTGATGGAAGGAACAATCAAACATGTTCCGAATTTTATCTACAATGGTTGCAAATATCTTGTATGTTCCTATCACTACTGTGGCTTCGGAGGCAACTTTTAGTGTCGATGGTCGTGTAATAGATCCTTATAGAGCTTCTCTTGCTCCGGAAACGGTACAAATGTTGATGTGCACGGGTGATTGGTGTAGATTACTCCATGGAGTGAAAAGGAAGAATAAGGTACATGTGTAAATATGCTAAGTTATTCATCTTTACCTTTAACATGTATATTAATTTGTTTTTGTTTTTATTGTAGGTGAACGAAGAACAACCAAAGGAAATCTTCATTCAAGTGCCATTCATAATACCCGGGACTTGAAAGCGAAATAAGATTGTGTTTTGATTTGTTAATGGATTTATAAGTACTTGGTTCTAATATTGTATTTTTCTCGACTTCGTTTTGATTTGTTGATGGATTTATAATTTGGTTGTAAACTCTTAATTTTCCGGATTTAATTTGTTGGTTTTTAAATTTATTTTGAACTTCTTATTATTGTTATGCATTAAACGAGTTCGAGCTTGATTCGAGTTCGAGTTCGAGTTCGAGTTCGAGCCTGAAAAATAGTTATCAAGTTCAAGTCGAGCTTCGATTGTTACTACTCGCGAGTTTTCGAGTCGAGTTCGATCTTCGAGATTAGGTTCGAGTTCAAGTCGAGTATAATGATAATCGAGTTCGACTCACATCATTTACACCCCTACCTGGATCTAACTGAATTTATAAATTGAAAATATGATCGACATTGAACTTTCTAATACTTAACATCATCATAATTGTGGCTCCCTTTTGATTTTTACTTAACTAATTGTTCCTATCATTCCTAGATTTTCCGTAGTCATGTATGCACTTGGTGCATTGACAAGGAACTTTGATGTGTTTTCACATGCTGTTGACGAATTGACGATGCTTTTTCCATCAACAAATTAGGATTTGTTTTATTGCATCTTAACTGTTGAAGAATCTGAACATGTCCACTGGTATAATTTTGATCACCCTGTAATGTTCTTATTGATTTCCATTTTTCATTTTTCCTTCTATTAGGTTTCATTTTGCCTTCTTTAGTGATATAGGTAACTCTTTCTTCTTGTTAACTTGTTAATTATTATCATCTATATTGTTTAGAATTGTAGATGGAAAAGTTAGCGTGTCTCAGTCTGGAAGTAACAGTCATTAACAACCTTCTTCTGAATCTAATCCTACAGTAATTCAATCTGTTCCGAAAAGTACAAGGAAACGGAAAACATTAGAAACCAGATTTCAAGTATGGCACCATTTTGAGAAGATGTTAAACGATGTTGGGGTAATCATTCAAGATAAGTGTTTATACTGTTCAAAAGTGTATGCAACCGAGGCTAAAAAGCATGGTACTTCATCTTTAAATAGCCACATGCACGCTTGTCCAAAAAATCCACATGCTAAGGAAACGAAACAGTCCATGCTTGCATTTCAATCTAATAATAGTGATGGTGCTTTGACATCTTGGATTTTTATTCAAGAGGTTGTTCAAAAGGTGTTAGTTAAAATGATTATAATACATGAACTTCCATTTAGGTTTGTCGAAGGGATGGGTTTTAAACAGTTTGTTGAAGTTGCATGCCCTAGCTTTAAGATTCCTTCTAGATGGACAGTTAATAGGGATACAGTTAGTATTTACTTTGAAGAGAAGACGAACCTTAAGAAATTGTTCAAGTCAAGCACGCAACGCATTAGTTTGACTAACGATACTTGGACATCTGTTCAAAGAATCAATTATATGTGTGTCATTGTTGATTTTATTGATGATGAGTGGAAACTAAATAAAAAAGTCATCTCATTTGTGCCTATACATTCACATAAAGGGGAAAATATAGCTAAAGCCTTAAAGAGTTGTTTGCTTAATTGGGGAGTAAAAAATATTTTCACTATCATGGTTGATAATGCATCAAGCAATAATATTGTCATTGGGTTCATGAAAAAAAATTGGTGAATTGAGGTGGTTCTTCTACTCGGGCCGAGTACATACATATGAGATGCATTGCTTACAAGATGGATTGAAATCAGCAGATGCATTGCTCATATTCTAAATTTGGTTGTACAAGATGGATTGAAATCAACAGATACATCAGTTAAGAAGATTAGGGATTGCATTAGGTAGGTGAGAGGTTCTCCATCTAGGTTGAAGAGATTTAGAGAACTTGCAGATTTGCTTGAAGTGGATGAGAAAAGTTTTTTATATCTTGATGTTCCAACTAGATGAAACTCCACCTATATGATGCTTCGAACCGCAATAGCTTACAGGCAAGTTTTTGAAATGTATGAGAGTAGCGACACCGCGTGTTAACTTTGGAATTGGGTGATTCGGTGCCTTCATATCTTGATTGGTTATATGTTGATAGCTTGGTGATTTTTTTGAAAACATTTTATGAGATGACAATCAGAATTTCTGTCTCACTTTATGTCATGTCAAATTCTTTCTTATCTGAGATTTTAGATTTGAGTTGCATTATTGTTGATATGTTACAACCTAAGTCTTGAAGAGCTATGTATATCTTCCTTTAGTTTTAAACTTTAAATCAACTTCAATTCTAATATTTACTTATATTTGGTTGTTGACTAGTTTTAAACTTTAAATCAACTTCAATTCTAATATTTACTTATATTAGGTTGTTGACTAACTTTTGGTTTTTGAGTTATGAACATGAAATGGGTGGTAAAATAAAAGAGAAGTTTAGTAAATATTGGGATGATCCGGATAAGATGAATTTTATAATGTTTTCTTGCAATATATTGGACCCCGGAAACAAGGTTGAGTACATGCAAGTCCAGTTACATCAAAATCAAATGTATGGTGAGAACTAAGGTAAGTCATGTTTTGAGAAGATAAAGTCTAAACTGAAT